CTTTTTTGTACACCTAATAGAAGCTTTTTTCGCACAGGTGTTTTTTCATTACAGTTTCCGTGACTCTTTTTATAACTACATATTATGTTATATCCAATAATATCTACCAATTATATCTACTAGAAAAGATATTAAAAATGTAAAAAAGGACGTCAAGTATATTTTGCAGAAAAAAGATACCAATGATAATATCATAAAAAAAGAAGTGAAATCAAAATAATATTTCAAGTATTTCTATTTAAAAAATTCCATAGAACACAGTTCTCTATGCGGCATCCTTGAAAGCATCCTTATGTAGACGACCTTTGGACATCCTTCAAGACGACATGTGAAATAATTTTTTACAATTATTATATACTACACAAAGTACGGATGACATTTGAAGTATATTAAGTTTAACAACACTTTAAAATGAGAGAATGAAATGCAGTAGATAGTGTAATAAGAGACACGGAAACTGAACAGGAATTTTTACATCACAATTAGAAAATTATAGAGATAAAGAATCGAAAATGAGGAAGATCTCTAACAGCAGCATACTTGACGTGTCCGTATTATTTATAATTATAATTTAAAATATAAATTACTACGACAGTCGTTCGCACTCTGACTTGTCAATATATTAGGTTGAGTAAAAAGTCATCGCGTATTTTTTAGCTCAAAGTTGTATATACAATATCTTCATCAATAATGAATGAAATTCAAATTTAAAAAAAGGGTTTTAAAGCTTGAAATCTCTACTTTTAAAAGCTTATCACATTTTTTAAGTTTATATGAGTTTGATAATTTTTACATACCAAAAACTACGAGCTGAAAAAGACGAAAAATTTTCTTCTCACTTTGTGGATTTGTAACGTGTCCAAAACGAATTTGAGAAAATTTTCGATTACCTATCGTGAAAGCTTGATACTTTCCCTACAAAATCGTTTTTTTTTAATATTCCTACGACTTTTGATTACTGAGTTATCGCGGATTAAATAAAAGAATTATTTTGACTTTAATTGCTCATAACTCCATTAAAAATTGTCGTATCGTATAATTTAAAAAAGAGATTTTTAAAGCTGAAACTTTACTCTATCAAGATATATTTATATTGTTGGTAAGAAAGTAATTGCGGTTTTTACTGATAGATGTCTTTTAAAAATACGCGATGACTTTTTACTTAACCTAATATATATATACTTATATATAGTATGTAGATATCAATGACAAATTAATTACGATTTATTAAAATTTTAATAAAATTAATGTATAGTATAATTCCTTCTAATTTATTCTGCTTATAAAAGGAAATTACATAGATAATGTAATTTCGAAATATGTTACAAAGAATACATGTAAGTCTCTATTTCATGTACTCGTATAACTCGCTTTTAAATCTATTTGATAATAAAGTCCCTAATCCGCAAATGAGTCGTGCATTATATCTAAAAATTTTTATTAAGTAAAATATAGAATATTTAGATTTCTATTTTCATGAGAATCAAGTATAATCTATTGTAATCAAAGACAATAATATTATGTCGAACAATAATTGCTAATATTATATTACTGTAATAAATTTCAAATTCTATTACTACAATAAAAAAATTTAACAGTTAAAAATTTAGTATAATATAATGTTCTATCCAAAGAAGATATAATTTTGAATGAGCAATTTAGTTTATGCATTTTTAGCAACGCGTAAGCTCTAGGAATGTTACCATCGCTACAATAAAGTTGTTACGTTTGTACGTTGATTCAGAAATGTAATCTTCTTTCAGTTATCTAAAATTTCGATGGTAATTTTTAATATATTAACAATGTACAAAATGTTGCATACGATATATTTATTGTTCAGTGTAGAGACGTCGAGTGTATGAGGTGAGGTGATTATTAATTTTCAATTTTATACATACAATAATTTAATTATTTATATAATTTTAGCTTGAATTCTCATTGCCACTCAGCTTTCTAACTTTGTGAGTATGTGACTTACCTCACAACAGTTAACGATTCAATTTTTTGAGAGAAAAAACGTTGGAGATATTATTTTGCGATGCAATATTGCAACCGTTGTATTAAGGGGAAAGATTGCTGATGAAGACTCAAACCATGAGTGAAAAGGTTTATATATTTAATATAATATCAAGAAGAATTGCACTAATTGATAACCAGCGTTGACTCCTATTTTTTGCTTGTACTTTATATTATCATCATATATTCTTTCTAAATTGTTTCAATTAAAGGACTTCTATAAAAAAAAACTTATTAGTTTTTTGTTAGTTTGTAATTTCTTATAATCAATTTAGTACACATTTTTTATGTACGAAGTAACAAAGAATATATACTCTTAGCACCTTTTTCTACCCTTTTTTGAAAGGGTAAGTTTTGTACTGATATCGCGTATTTTGTAGTGTTTAATATTTTCTTATAATTTCACTTTTTAGTTTATATATATATATATAGTAAAATTTTTTCTTGTCTAACATATATTTATTTTATACGCTTTCTTATCTCTTTCAACAAGATAAATTTATATGCTAGTATCATACCTTTGTAGTGTTTAGTGTCTTTCTATATAAAGAGAATATAAATTATAGGCCTGTTTATGAGTGTTTTAAATATAACGAGTAAGTGTTGATCAATAAAATAATTAGTAATGCATATGAAATTAAATTTAAAGGAATCATAAAGCCTAATTATGAGTACAGACATAAGATACAGTAGAATTATTCTTTTCGGTAACTTTTACTTAATTTTATTCCTTTTTTCAATTTGTAATTAATACTTAACATAGATTTGCGGTATATGATTCTTGTTTTCCTGCTGTATTTCCTGCAAACCTTCGAAAGGTTTAACAGTCACATCATACGTTAAAGAGTTATTAAAAATGAAATAAGGATTTCAACTCCGATGACGCTGACCTTGATATATTGTCAAGATCTTGGCCCTGAATGACATCGAAGCATTTTGGCAGTCGCTCGATCATTTTAAATTTTAAAAAGTGTTAAAATTATAATATAATGTAATATAAGTACATATAATTACATATAATTACATACATAAGTATTAATGTAATACAAGTAATTAAAATATAAAATTAAAGTTATTAAAATTAAAATAGATAATTTATCTCCGATGACCTTGATCCTCTCATGTGTTATAAAGATCATCACACTAAATAACCTTCGGAAGATTGTAACAGTCGCCCCCCCCCATCGCACGTTACAAAATTATTAAAAATAAAATAGAGAATTCAACTTCGATAATGTTGACATATATTATGAAGGTGATGATCCTGAGTGACCATCGAAGAGTTTTGGTAGTCGCTCGTTGATTATTGAAAAGTTATTAAAATTAAAACTGTAATATAAAAACCAAAACTCAAATAATAAAATAATTAAAAAATTCTAATACAAGACTACGCAAACCGGATGGTAATTGTTAAAATTCATCGAAATTCATCGAATATATGTAATATACAAATGTTTTGACCCTTATCGGGTCATCTTCAGTATTGTATAATATATGTACATACGTAATTAACTATTCTAAAACAATCATCTAAAAAGATGATCTTGAAAATTGAATCTAAGATATTGATGAAAATTCAGCGTTAGTGTGCTGTATGGGACTGTAGTCAAGTTTTGCCCATAAATCAATGCCAATAAGAACGGCGTTTTTTAATGTCAGCATTATGCGGAACGTATGCCAAATACGCCGATCGCCAATTTCGACGGGCGCGCGCGCGCACGTACTAAAAATCTGGGTCAGTCATCAATCTTTCTACTAAACGGAGAAATCCGCGAACATTAGTTGTTTTAAGGTGTGCCTAAGGGTATCGATCATGTAACTTTTTCCCTAAGGCGGAAACGTGAAAAGTGAAAATTTATTGTATGTATGTGTGTATATATTAATATATACATACATATATACATACAAATTTTCACTTTTTACATTTCCACTCTAGAAAAAAAGTTATATGATCGATACTCTGATTACCGAACCAAAGTTCGAGTATTTTGGCAAATAACAAATGCTTATTGAAATTTATTTGTCCGTAGTAAAAATATAATTTGTAAAAAAATTTTCGATTTAAGACCAACTACACTCTCAACTCGAGACCGAGACAATATCGAGAATTTTGAAATTAAGCGGAGACCAAGTTCGAGGTCAAGATAGAGATGTCTCGTAGAGATGGATATAATAATAACAATAATAATATGGGTTACCATAATATGGGTTACAATAGATATGCAAGCATAAGCATTTGTAAGTAGCGAGTTCGCTATCGAATTATCATGTCGCCAGGGAAACCGGTGTTGAGAGAGAGTGGGAGGAAAGTATTTCACGATCGAGACATTCCTATGGTGGTGCTCAGGTATTCTCCGGATTTGGTCAAAAATGGAGAACGGCGGCAATCGGCAGTGCCGATTCCCTCCGGGCTTCTCCCGCTGGAAGATGTCCTTCGGAGACGCGTCTTCGTTCCTCTCAACTGTTCATTAATAATGAATCGCGTTATGTAAAGCGATGAGTAAGCGGCAGGTAAGGTAGTCGGTCGGCGAACGAATATGGAATCACGCGAACATTGTGCTCGCTGTCGCGCTAAATCGATCGTCCGTTATAAGAACGACGACCCCTGTGATCATTACCGATCTCAGCATGTCTTGGAAAAGCGGACAATCTTCTCTCCAAAAAGACACTCGCCTGAATGTCTCAAGTCCCGGACCTTCGAGGAAGAAGAACGGAAGAATGGTATGATAATTTTTTCTTCTTTTCTTTTTTTCTCTTGGAGGACCATCGAAGAAGATTTAACATAACATCAATAGGCTCAAGATTTCTTTGTGTCTACGGCAATTAGAATTAATTATTATTTAAAAATTAATTTATAAATTAAAAATAAATATATGTAAATAATTATTTAATATTATTAATTAAACCGTATTACAAAGTTTTTATCTTAATATCTGAATGGTGAAGTATTTTGAAATATTGAAAAAAAATTACAAGATCAAAAAGTTTTATTATCTATAAATTTCA